GCCTTCTGAGTGCTGGGATTACAGGTGTGTGCCACCATGCCTGGCATGAAAGGTTTTTAAGTGATTAGTAGGTGTCAGAAACATCTATTCATTTCATCTTAACCACAAGCCCACAGAGGAGGCAATGTTATTTGTACTTCCAGCCAAGGACACTGGAGCTCGGTTTGCCCAGGGTCACACAGCTGGAATTGGTAAGGTCTGGATTCATCTCGGGACTGTGCCTTTCTCATTCTACCATCCTAGGTCTTCGTTCTGAATGTTTCCATAAAGAAAGGTCATGTAGTATGGCCTTGTGGCTATGAGGGGCAGAGAGACTGCAGTGCAAGGACTTAGTGCTTTGGAGATGTGACTTCACCTGGGGCTAGAAGTTGGGGCATCTAGGTGAATGGAGGGGTAACCTTTCAGATTCCCTGCCATTTCCATATGTGTGTGTGTTTTATTTGAGCTTTGGGGCTGGTTCTGGGTGACATTTAAGTCACAAATGACTTGAATCTGTACTATGTCCAATGTGTGAACAGGTGATATAGGTCATGTTGCTCCACTTCCCACCTTTCAGCTCACTGGCCCAGCTCTAGCCACTTTAAATGCTGCTCTGTATTAGCCAAGCTCTTACTCACTTCCATTCTCTGGAACTTGCTATATCCTTGAAGCTTTAAATCTCATCTCCATCACGAAGTTTACCTGAGCTCCCCGTTCTCCTCCCCAGCCTTCTCTTTTCTCCCACAGAACCCTCCATGCACGTGCTTTGTAGTGCTGCGTTCCCATTCTGATTTACCTGTCAGTCTGGGTTCCTTATCCACCCATGTCCCCTAGGAAACTCGAGCAGGACCTAGGATGTAGGAGTGCTCAGTAATGTTTGTTGTATGTCCAGCTGTCCTGGGCACGGGCTACACAGAGATGAGGGCGCCACTCCTCCCCTTGAGGATCTGAGTTAGAAGTTGGAGGAGACTGTTGTGTAATGATTGAAGCCCAACTTTATAAGATCCTTCATATCTTATAAAGATATCATAAAGGGCTTGGGGAGCACAGAGGAGTGAGAAAATAACTTAGCCTGGGAAGTCTTCCAGAGGTAGTAATTTATGGGCTTGAGCTGAACATTAAAATATAAAAGATCTTTACCAAACTAAGAATACTAAGCAGAGAGAAAAACACGCACAGCAACATGAAAGAGAATCAATGTTTGGGGAACTGAGAGGAATATTAATATTCTATCTCATCATTCAGAGTGAAAACATGTTTTATATACCAAATGTGAGAGAGATAAAGTTGTCACTCTGTTGTGGATGTTTTAAGACCACATTATTCAGGACCGGGGATGTAGCTCAGCAGCATAACGTCTGCTTGGCAAGTGCTAGGCCCTGAGTTCGATTCCCAGTGCCAAAAAAGAAAAGAACCAACTATGTTATTCTGACAATTTTGTTTTTTTAATCAGTCAAATGGATTTTCTTGCAAGGCAATGAAGATGCTATAGTCACTTATTTATAGTTTCTAGTCTACCTCCTTCTAAAAATAGTTTAACTTGATGTGTAATAAAAAGACACATCCGCGAGAAGGCTGTTCATACAGAAACAAGAAATGAAACCTACAGATAGGAAGGGAAGAATGCCATTCCCAAAGCACTTGTTCATCCTTTCGCCACAATGTAATGATGCTTCGTTCAGGATGAAGATGAGCAGAGAATGGGGTTTTATAGCTTCGCGTCTGGCATTAGGAGTGCGCTTGAGGGTGCAGATTCAGTGGTCACACAGACACTTCCCCCATTTCCCCATGGATGCCACGAACATTTCTTGATATTTCTTTACTTTGGGTTTCCAACCTCTCCCACTTTTTTTTTTTTTTTTTTTTTTTTTTTTTCAGTACCAGGGATTGAACTCAGGGCCTCACACATGCCAGGCAAGCACTTATTCCACTGGGCTATTTCCCCAGCCCCTCTCCCACTTTTGAGTAGAAAGAATTGTCTTTACTTTGTGATCCTCCAGACACATTGCTTGTTGCAGCTTCTTTATTCGAATTTCTTTCAGATTCTCTCTTCCTCTTAAAGTTTTCTTTTTTTAAAAAACTTTGAAAGCACAAAATCAAGTCCTCTGTGATACTCCAGACCAAGAGTTTAAAAGGCCTGGAGGGCCAGTGAGATAGCTCAGCGCAACAAGTACCTGCTTAGGCAAGCGCAGGGACCTGGATTGGATCCCCAATACCATGTGCCTCGCCAGCCCCGCCCCCAAGCTCGCTAAACTGGCCTCCAAGACTGGCCATAGTGGCGCATGCCTGTAATCCCAGCACTGGGGAGGCTGAAAACAGGAGGATCACTACAAGTCCAAGCTGCATAGTGAGACCTGTACCAAATACATTTTAAAAAGTCTAGTGAGGTAGGTCAGTGGCAGAGCTATTCAATCAGCATGTGTGAGACCCTGGGTTCAATCCCTAGCACATACATACACACATGCATTCACACACATGTGCATACATACATGAATGTTGAACTTAGAAATTTTCAGAAAAGTTTTCAAGATTAGGACAAAATATTCCTGGCTATGCTTTACCTGGATTCCCCAATTTTTTTTTTTTTTTTTTTTTGTACTGGGAATTGGACTCAGGCAGGTGCTTGCCAGGCAGGTGCTTGAAGCACTGAGCTACCTCTCCCAACCACCAACTGTTATTTTTCTTAATCCTCCTGCCTCTGCTTCGCAAGTACTGCAATTACAGGCATGCACATTTGACTACCTTTGCTTTATCTAGCTGTCTCTATTTTCTCTCCCTAAATATATTTATATTTTGTATTTAGTTCTGAACCCATTTAAGAATAAGTTGCACATTCTGGCCTGAGCCTTCCGAGGTCAGTGAAGACTCAGGACATATGAGAATTTGTACTGTAATGTCATGTAACTCGGTAGTATCCCAAATTTTCTGATCAAGGAGATTATGGGACCAAAGAGGAAAGTGATCGATGATGTAGAGTGTGCCTAAGGAGAGTCACATGGAGAGAAAACATTCTCTCAGGCTTTCACAGAGAGCACATTGGCCAAAGAATGGCCGTGACTCATCCACATGGCTGACACTGACAAAGGGTCTACAATCTGAGGTACAGGATCTCAGGATAAATCCTGAGGGAATTTCACTGACCTTATCAGACCCAAAAGCTACAACTCTTGTTGCATAGGTCCTGCTTTACCTTGGTCTTAACCATCCAGTAGAAAAGTATAAAAATGAAGTATAAGAAGTAAAGCCATGCTGTTATGTTGAGCTGTAGGGGACTCAGGTCAACAATTTCTGACATTGCCAGTCAAGCGGAAGACCCAATACTATTAAGGGCTACTGGACTCTTTTAGAATATTTTGCTGAGTTAACACACCTATAATATTCAAATGACAGAACTTAAGGAAAAAAAGGGGATACAGATGAATGTCCATTTTGTATCTGTGTATTCAAAGTGGTTAGGATAGATATATAGTTACATTTTCTTAATGAATAGAGGGATTTATTCTAATAGTGTTTCTAAATAGGATATCATGTCCGCATCTTGTACAGCAATTAACCACTAGGAAGAATGTATGCAATGTGTTAATTGTTGAAAGTGTCCTACCAATTTGGTTTGAAACTGTCTCATTGCTATTTGTTTCTCAATAAAATTATGGAAAAAAAGAATAAGTTGCAAACATAATGCACCCTCATTTAAGACCTCTTAACTATATTTCCTGAAAAACAAGAAATTGTCATGTATTATATAACAGGTATTTATTTTTCTATACATCTATTCTTTTTTATTTATATTTAAATTTAAGAGTGCATTTCTGTGGGCTAGAGAGATAGCTAGGTGGTCTAAGTGCCTGCCTGGCAAGCACAAGGACCCAGGTGACCCAGGTTTGATCCCCAGTACTGCATGCCATGCTGGCCCCATGCCGAGCCAGCCACCCAAACCAGGCATGGCAGGACACACTTGTAATCGCAGCACTGGGGAAGCTGAAAACAGGAGGATCACTATGATCACTGGGCAGTGTGCCACCTTGCTCAGACTCAGTCACCGGCTCAGCACACCCCAGGGGTAGGGCCAGCTCAGCATGCCAGACCTGGGATCAAACCCTGGTCCCTATGCTTGCCAAAGCAGGCACTTAGTCCACTGAGCTATCTCACCAACTCGTGTTCTTCTGACTTTATTTTTATTTATTCTTTTTTTTTAGTATTAGTACAGGTTTACAGAGTTTACAGGTTCTCACTATATAGACTGGACTTCTCATGATTCTCCTGTTTTTAGCCTCCCAAGTGCTGGGATTACAGGCATGCGCCACCATGCCCGGTTCTGTTTTTAAAGATTACATTGTTTTGTTTATATTTATTATAATGGCTTGCTTTTGAGGGGAAATGGTTTAGCAATAAAAATGTGTACAACCCCCTACCAACAGATATTCTAACCTGTGATGCTTTGTCAGACTCTGATTTTAGGCAGAAGGATTTTTTTTTTTTTGTTTTTTGTTTTTTTGCTCCGAATGCCTTCAGGGCAGGTTTGGCTGGCTTGAGTTGTGGGGATCGAAACACAGCAACCTGAGCCTGACTGCTTTGTTGAAGCAGCCACTTAAAGAACTGAGCTACAGGGCAGGCCCCCTAGACTCTGACGAATTTCTAGTGGACACACTTCCTCAGCCCACTCTCCTTCAGGGAATTAACTGTTTTCCTGTTCTGGCCTGTTGGTTTTATATCAGTGGAAAGCACTGAATCAATAAATAAAGAAGCAGGACAAGGGAAACCTTTAAATGAAAATTTATCTTTATTCTGTAGCCAGTAGCGATTCAGTGAAAGGTTCGCAGCAAGGGAGAGAGCCGATCAGAGCTGTGTTTTCTGGAGATTAATTGACAGCGTCTGCAGAATGGAGTGAAGGCGGAAGAAATCAGCGTGGGTTCGTAAGGCATTTGGGTGAAATGATCGCTAGTTTGAAGGGTAAATCACTACCCAGGTAGACAAGAGCCTTCTCCAGCATAATGCAGTCTATTCTTTCCCATGTCTTTCAGAACTGGCTAAAGTCGTATGGCTATCTGCTTCCTTATGATTCCCGGGCGTCTGCACTGCACTCAGGGAAGGCCCTACAGTCCGCGGTCTCCACCATGCAGCAGTTTTATGGGATCCCAGTCACCGGTGTGTTGGATCAGACAACGATCGAGTAAGATTTGCATAGGACATTGTGCCTTTGAACTTTGAGTTCATACTCATTATAGCCTTGTGTACGCACCATGCCCATTTGACTTTCTCATCCTTTATTCCAACGATGCCATCCTGGGAGGAAGTACCACAAAGTGCACTTTGCTGTTTGCACTGGGATAAGAATCCCACCTCTGCCATTAACTTGATAAGTGACCATGGAGCCCAGGGAATTTAACCCGCCTGGGCCTCAGTTTCCTCATCAGTACCATGAAGGTTTGTGTCATAGGATGAATCTTAAATCTTCTCTGGTTCTAGTTTTGTGAGTTACCCTCCGGAGTTCCCTGAGATGCACACATCTCACTTGATCCAGAAAGCTCTTGAAAAATACTGGGTTGGCAACTTTTGTTCCACTTTTCCCATTTACCAAATACCTGCAGCGATAGACTGGGGGTGTGGCTCAGTGGGAGAGCCTTGGCCTTGTGCACACAAGGCCCTGAGTTCAATCCCCAGCACTACAAAGAAACAAACAAAAAACCCTTTAGGACTGGGGAGATAGCTCAGTGGTCTAAGCGCCTGCCTGGCAAGTATAAGGACCCAGGTTTGATACCCAGTGCTGCGTGCTGTGCTGGCCCCAAAACTGGATGTGGTGATGCATGCCTATAATCCCAACGCTGGGGAGGCTGAGACAGAAGGATCACTATTAGTTTGAGCTGTGTAGTGAGTCCCTATACCAAATAAAAATAAATAAATAATTGTTTTAAAGACTAAAAACAAAAAACAAAAAACCAACCATCCTGCTGACTGCCTGCATGTTCCAGGGATGGTGCTTGCCCTGACATCCTGACCTTTGGAAGCTCATAAAGCTCATACTGTTTAATAGTAAAAAACCCAATCACCCGGGCACGCCAGCCTAGATCACAGAAGCAAACAGAGCCTTAGGGTGCTACTTTAGAGGTAGAGTGAGCATAGCAAGCCATGAGGTTGGCTGCCATCACCCAAAGAAAGCATAAAGAGGAGAAAAAGAAGAGGCTTAGAGGTAGAGCAGCATTGAGGGGGCCTCACAAGAGTAATGGGAGAGGTGGGGGAGGCCCTGGGTGATGTGCTAGCACAGCAGTGAAGAGGCTGTGGTCAGCAGAGTCAGCTGTTACAGAGTGGTCTCACAGGACAGGGACTGAAAGCCATCCTGTGCGTTTAGTAACAAAGAGGTTGTCAACAGTCTTAGTAGAGCTCGGCATGGTGGTCCACACCTGTAGTCCCAGCTCTCCCTAAGCTGAGGCAGGAAGATTGAGGCTAGTTCAAGACCAGACTGGGCTACATAGTGAGTTCAAGGCCAGACTGAACAACATAATATAGTGATACCCTGTCTCAAAAAAAACCAAACAACCCTCCAAAAATTAAAACCTCAGAATGGTAGAAATAAAGTTGAATTGCAAAGAGGAAAGGGAGGTAAGGAGTTGAGATGGCAAATGAAGGGAAAAACTTGGGGAATCCTCAGAGCATAGGGAAGAAGAGGGGAGTGGTAGCCAGAGAGTGATGAAGTTTTGATTGTTTAAGAAACAGCAAGGTCTGGGGATGTAGTTCAGTGGTAGCTTACTCACCATGCACGAAGCCCTAGGTTTGATTCTCACTACCACACTTTTTGTTGTTGCTGTTTTGTTTTGTTTTGCAGTACTGGGGACTGAACTCAGGATCCTGCACTTGCCAGGCAGGCACTTATTCTACTGAGCTGTCTCCTCCGCCCACCACACATTTTTAAAAAGAAAGAAAAGAAGTAGCTATGAAAACTCCCTCTAGTTGTTGAAAAAGTGCCCTCACTCTCCAGAGGCATGGAAAAGAGCTGGAGTGGGTGCTGAAGACAGCACAAAAGGATGGGGGCCAAGCTCGGGTGGGAGCAGATGGCAGGGTTGGGTACAGATGCAGGGGGACTGCAGGGGGCCAAAAGGAAATGCACCCCATTGCGGATTAAGGACCAGTTCATACCTTGGGTAAGTTGCTCCATGACAGAATCATGTCTGGGTCTCAGCGCAATTATTTGCACCTTGGAATTTGCCTTTCAAATTTGGTTTCTGTTCTTCTCTTTCTCAGCTTTTAAAACTTAGTAAGTCTGAGGCTGTATGATTGTAAGAATCTGTCCAAACAAATTTTGCAGTTTTGCTAAGATTTTCTGATTGTGAAATGCTGAGACAGCATGTTCAGTGCTATGAGAGGCCTCGCCCCCGGCCCAGGGCGAGCTGAGGAGCCTGTTGCCTTCCCTGGGAGGTTACTGGGAGGCCGCTGCACAGCCTGCTCGCTCAGCAGTGTGTCCTGGGCCAGGAGCCCTGGTGTGAGGTGCCACCTGGCCCTGGTTTTTCTCCATCCCAGACACCCCAGGTCTGCTGGACAAAGTTCAGAGAGTGGCAGGTGGATGGGGCAAGGAGGAGGCAGAGGGGAGGGCCTGAGGGAAGAGGCTGGTGTTTCCCACTTGCAATTCTCCCTGTACTGCACGGTTTTGCAGACATGGAGAGGAGGGAGATACTCACAATTAGTCCAAGACCCAAGCAGGGCTGGTATTTGGAGTAGAATTCACAGACCTGAGCTCCTGCTCTGACTCCAGGACCCAGTGCCGTTGCGACCTTTCTTGGGGCCTGGCTCCCCCAAGCAATCCTTCCAGATCAAATTTACCAGCAGCAAAAGTAGCTCTTGGTTATCTTTCCAAGGACTTTCAGTGAAGGAAAGCTAGATTTGCATTTTCAAGTACTATTTTCGGGAAATGTGACACATTTATTCATTCATTCAGTCAGTCAGTCAACAGCGCAGTTCCTCTAGCTCAACCTTGTGATAAGCACTGAAAGAAAAATAAGAGGTCCAGCCTTTGAGGGGTAAATCGCATTGTTGAATAGTTCACTTATTAATTCAGCTTAATTCCAGCCCCCCCTCACTGTCTTCTGTGTTTTATAAATTACATGATTGATAGCTGTATGTCTTTTCCTTCATCTGGAAAATAGGAATAATGATTTCCGGTTACCTCACAGAGGGCCATTTTAAGAAACCAATATTCTAAAACATTATGAGCACTGTGACAGTGATAAATGTTTGGATCAAGCCACTGCTATCATTATGTCTTTATTATTGGTTTGTTGTCACAGATCACTTGCTAGGCAACATGGAGCACACAAAGATGTGTAAGAGTTGGCTAATTCCCTCAAGGGACTTTTAATATTTGGTTAAAATAGCCTCCTTCTTTTCTCTCTACGGCAATTGCTTTAACAGCTGCAAATGAGGTCAGACTCGCTTCCCTTCCAACCATGCCAAGCTACCCTTTCATGGGCTGGTCATTAGGCCTGCACAAAAACAGAAAATGAAGAATGGCATGGCTTTTTATTTATTCATTTACTTATTTTTATGTATTTAGTGCAGGGTCTACAGGATCTACAGGGTCTCACTACATAGATCAGACTCGCAGTGATTCTCCTGTTTGCAGCCGCCCAAGCGCTGGGATTACAGGCATGCGCTATGCTCAGTCTCAGACCCTGGGGGCGGGGCCGGCATGGCACACCGGGGGTCCAACCCCGACCACTGCGCTCTGCCTAAGCAGATGCTTTTGTCTGCTGAGCTATCTGGCCGGCCTAGGCATGGCTTTTTAAATCTCCTACACTGGCACATTTTTTGTAAGACCCAGTGATGTTATACGCTTACTGCTGTCTGATGTAACCTGGTAACAGTTATCAGAATCCACTTACTTGCATGTACTGGGGAAGCTTCCAGAGAAACAATAATGAGTATGAGCATGGTTCCTGTTCCCAAAGAAGTCACCGTTTATTAGAAGTGACAGGTTAGTAGACTTAAAATCAAAGTACGATGTACTTCGCTGGAAATAATTATGGTGCAGGTCCTGTTGGTTTTTAGCCATTTGTGGAATACATAGTGAAAGGGAATCTTCTGTCTTCTACCATATTCCACCATACTGTTGGAGAATTCCAATTCATTCATTCATCAGTCAGTAAACAAATCTTTTTTTTTTTTTTTTTTTTTTTAATGTATTTGGTACGAGGTCTCACTATACAGCTTGGATTCACAGAGATCCTCCTGCTTTCAGCCTCCCCAGCACTGGGTTACATGCATACACCACCATTACCAGACTCAGTAGCACACTCAGGGGTGGGGCTGGTACTACATGCGGTGCCTGGATTGAACCTGGCCTATGCACTTGCCAAAGCAGGCCCTTAGTCTGCTAGGCTATCTCGCCGGCCCAAACAAATCATTATTGAACCCCTTTTGTGTCAGACACTGAGCCAGCCCTTGGGATACAGGCCATACTCCTATTGTAATAGAGCTCAGATCTGGTGAGAAAGACAAAGAATAAGCAGATCTATAGAGTCAGGGAGTTATGAATGCTATGAATATAAATTAACCAAGACAAGCAGATAATAGTGGGACAAAGGGCTTTACTTCAGATAGAATGGACAGGGAAGTTCTTTTTTAAGGCAGATACCTTAATGATATAAAGAAGCAAACCACAGGGAGAGGAAGTAAATAAAAGGAACAGCAAATACAAAGACTATTGAATGAAGGCAGGCACGGTGGGCACAACTGTAATCGCAGCATTCAGGAGGCTGAGGAAGGAAGATTACCTCATGTTCAAGGTGAGCCTGGGCTACATAGTGAGTTCATGGCCAGTATGAACTACAAAGAGTGACCCTATCTCAAAAAACAAAAAAGACAGAATGAGAAAAAGCTTAGCAGACAGTCTCAAGGAACAGCAGAAAGCATAGTATTTAAGAGTGATGTGCTTGGGCTGCAGAGATAGCTCTATGGTCTAAGAGCCTGCCTCACAAGAACAAGGACCCGAGTTTGATCCCCAGTACCACATGCCATGCCGGCCTTGGAACCCCAGTCACACTGTGCTGGCCATTGAAACCAGGCGTGGTGGCACATGCATGTAATCCCAGCGCGGAGGAGGCTGAGACGGGAGGATCACTACAAGTGTGAGCTGCGTAGCAAGACCCTGTATCAAATAAATAAATAAAATTTAAAAGATTGATGTGCTTTGGTCAGGTAGGCAGGGGGTAGGTCACCCAGGCTCTTGAAGGGCCAGCAAGGAGTTGGGATTTTAATGTAGATGTTTTGAGAAGTCACCAGAAAGAGCTGTGGTCTAATATTTTCACATATGCTCCTCTCTGCAACCCAAGAGCAGCAAGAACTCTAATTCTCATGTTGGAGATGAAGAAACTGAGGGTCATGTTGATTCTGTCACTTGTAGGGGATCCTAGATTAGTGGTGGAGCCAGAACTTAATAAGCAAGGTCTCCTGATTCTTCTGATTCCTCTTTCTGCTCAGGTGGATGAAGAAACCCCGCTGTGGTGTCCCTGATCACCCACACTTGAGCCGGAGGAGGAGAAACAAGCGCTATGCCCTGACTGGACAGAAGTGGAGGCAAAAACATATCACCTACAGGTGCTTGACTCCCTCTCTTCCTCCCTGACTTTGGCCCTACACTTACTGTTTTGCGGCCCAGCCTTCAGCGGCCTCTCAGTAGGTTTGGAGGTCAGGATGAGGGCCAGGCAGGTGCATGAGCATCCGGCCCTGGTGCTGAGAGCCAACGCCTATGTCTTCCTTGTGGGTCCACAAGGTGATGTCTCCAGCATCTGGGATCTGACCTTTCAAGGGCTTTTAGTTGTGTTCTGCCTGGATGCTTACAGTTTTTACAGAAAATGGGGTGACAAATTGTTCAGTAACTTCTAGCTGTGGTGAAGATCCATGACAGAACTCATTCTCCCAGTCAGAGCTTGTCAAACCCCACTGCCTCTGATCCAGATCCCCTCCTTATCAAGATCAGCCTGACAGACCTCCCCCAAGATTTCCAACAGGATCCTAGTGTATTTGGCCTTCTTTCTTTCTTTCTTTCTTTCTTTCTTTCTTTCTTTCTTTCTTTCTTTCTTTCTTTCTTTCTTCCTTTTCTTCTAGTACTAGGAAACCTAGGGTTACTATACCACCAACCTACATCCCAGTCCTTCTAATTTTTTATTTTGAAACCGACTCTCCCTAAATTGCCCAGGCTGGACTCCAACATGTGATCCTTTTGCCTCAGCCCTCCTCGGTACTGGAATTATAAGGTGCACCACTACACCCGGCCTAGTTGTTTCTTAAGGAGTATAAAGGACAACTGAATCATGATGTTCTGATGTTCTTTTATAGAGAAACATGCAATATGGCTATAATAACCTGAATTATACCAGTGTTATTCCTTGACTATCTGGGGGAATCAAGGCAGAGTGACATTAGTCTCCAAGTCTGACTAGCAGACTGAGAGAAGAGATGATGAAGCTTATCAAGGCAGACTGGGACACAAGAATTCAAATGGAGCTAGGCAAGGGCCTGTCATGGGGCAGGTGTAGGTGGGCTCTGCTTGGCACCTTGGAAGGCCCTGATTCCACCTCAAGTAGAGCCCCTAGGTGCAGGAGCAAGACCTAAGCCAGAGGTTATCCAAGTTAAACAAAGTACTCCTTCTTGACAAGCTCTAGAGATCAGAACAAGCTTTTTTTTTTTTTTTTTTTTTTTTTTTTTTTTTTTTTCAGAAATATAACAAGAAGGAAACTTAAAAGGAACTTGCCTTAGAAACTGTACAGACTCTGGCTCTCCTGAAGCAACGGATAAAATAAATAAATAACTGGGCTGGGGAGATAACTCAGCAGCATAAGCACCGGCCTGGCAGGTGCAAGGTCCCAAGTTCAATCCCTGGTACTGCATGTTGTGCCAGCCCCAAAACCCGGTATGGTGGTGCACACCTGCAATCCCAGCACTAGGGAGACTGAGACAGGGGGATCACTATGAGTCAGAACTTCATAGTGAGACTCGTATCAAAATAGAATAAAGTAAAAACCACATTCTAAGCCAACTCTGACCTTAACATCTATGACTCAACTTCTCTGGGGCTCTGCTTCCTTGCTTATGGAATGGGTAAAGGAATCAAGCCCACTCAAGGGGCAGAGCACCCACAGGTACTGATGTTCTGTGGAGAACCATGCAGTATGGCTATAATAACCTTAAAGAGCTAAACCCCTGATAGATTAAATCAGATACTGCCCTATGCCAGCTTCTAGGTAGACAAGCAATAGTTGGTACCAAAAAAAAATTTTTTTAAGAACTTTTCACTTAAATGCATCTCTGTTTGAATTTTTAAGTATCAGGTACTACCACTAAGAAGACAACAATATGCAATGTATTAATTATTGAAACTGTACTACTAATTGGTTTTGAAACTGTCTCATTGCCATTTGTTTCTCAATAAAATTATTTTAAAAATAAATAGATAAAGTATCGGGCACTGAGGGGGCGGGGGGATGGCTCAGTCGAATAAGTGCTTGTCTGGCAAGCTTAAGGGTCTGAGTTCAATCCCTGATACCGCAAAAATAAATAAATAAGATAAAGTATCAGGCACTGGACCCAGTACTTTGCACTGAGATCCATCCCCAGCCCTCTTTAATTGTTATTTTGACACAGGGTCTCACTAAGTTGCTCAAGTGGGACTTGAACTTGTAATCTTGCCTCAGCCTCAGGCCTTGGTGCCCTGCACTATGACTAGCTGTGCCCTGCCTTGGAAAGAGCCCTTGCTCACTCCGAAGTGTCAGGCGTCCTCGACGAGGAGGAAAAGACATTTCATTGCCTAAATCAAATGCTGGGATTACAGGCAGTGCCAGCACACACTGATTTTGTTTTTCAGTCCTGGAAATCAAACACATTCGAGGCAAGCTCGATACCAACCTTATTTTTATAACTTTTATAAATGTATATATTCTTTGTATTGGGATAAAAACTTAAAATGTAGAAAATGCTATCTACCAATGGATTTTTTTTTTCTGTACATTAGAGGAGAATCCTTTATTCAACACAAAGTGAGTCAGAGATAAAATAAAAACACTGATTTAAAAAAAAAAAAAAAGAAACACTGATTAAAACAAAGCCATCCTGAATGAGGCAAGGGTGGAACCCAGAGGTCTGCCCACTCTGCCCCTTTTGCACTGCTGGGGCAGCTCAGCAGAATCCTAGCACTCAGCACGGGGAGTCTGCGGGGCCCTGTTGCCTCTGATGTCCCTTTCAGCCTTGCTCATCTCTGGCTTGCTGTTCCTACCCTAATTATCTTCCCCTCTCTCACCAGCATTCACAACTATACCCCAAAGGTGGGGGAGCTCGACACACGGAAAGCTATTCGCCAGGCTTTTGATGTGTGGCAGAAGGTGACTCCCCTGACCTTTGAAGAGGTCCCATATCATGAAATCAAAAGTGACCGGAAGGAGGCAGACATCATGATCTTCTTTGCTTCTGGTTTTCATGGTGACAGCTCCCCATTTGATGGGGAGGGCGGATTCCTGGCCCACGCCTACTTCCCTGGTCCAGGAATTGGAGGAGATACTCACTTTGACTCAGACGAGCCGTGGACGCTAGGCAACGCCAATCATGATGGTAAGGCCACACAGGGATGGAGAGGCTCAGTCCTGGGTTGCTCAGCTATCAGGGAAAGAAGCCCTGAGGAAGAGCTTGCGGGACACCAAATCTGAGATTCCTGCTTTGTGAAGCTTCTTGTCTAAGAACTAAGAACCCAAGAGGATGGGAACCCTGGTCTCTGGGAATGTGTAACACTTGATACACCAGGGCCACAACCATGCCAATCAGCCAGATCCCTTAGCAGATGGTCAAATGCACTGAGGCAGGTTTAGGGTGTAGACAAGAGGATGAAATGATGTGTTAGAACCTGAGAAAAGGTAAAAAGGTATTGACGCTGAATCAATCATGGGATCTGAAAGTGGCTCCAGCTCTGGCTCACAGTCACTCTTAACAAGTGCCATGGTGACTTTAGTGTCCTTGCATAACTTGCGATGCAGGCCTCACTAAGAGCCAGTGAATATTCATGGAGCTGGACTCAATAGCATACAGTCATAACAATACCCTTCTGGTGACCCAAGAGTGCCTCAGACACATTGCACTCACAATGCACTTGCTCTGTAAGCACGCAAGGATACAAACATTATGGCCATTTTTAAGACAAACAGCACTCAAATGGCATAGCTAGTAGGCGGCAGCACCAAGGTCCAAACTCTAGTTCAGCCACTTAGCTATGTGACTAGGGACCAACAATTCACCTTCAGTCTCTTAATGTGTAAAATAGCACCTGCTTTATGTGATCTCCACAATCTTGTCCAACTCTAAGGTAACATACTATGAAGTCCTATAGAGATATAGGAGCAGGGATGGAAATGTTGGAAGAAAAATATGAGAGAGAGAGAGAGAGAGAGAGAGAGAGAGAGAGAGAGAGAGAGAGACAGAGAGAGACAGAGAGAGAGAGAGAGACAGAGAGACAGAGAGACAGAGACAGAGAGAGACCTGGCTTCTGCCCTCCAAAAGTCCAGAGAGAGATGTAGACAAGTGCAGGCCTGCCTCACATAGGCTCTACTGAAGGCTTCAGCAGAGCCCCCAACACAATGGTGGTCTGGAGGAAAGAGAAAGTTTGGCTTTTGGATTATGATAGATAAGAGTTAGTGAGTATGTTAATGTTCTAAAGCCTATGCCAAGTGGTTTCCACCTATTATGTCAGAGGTGAATATTATTATTGTTCTCGTTTTGCAGATAGGTATACCAAGGCATTGAGAACCATTCAATAACCTAAGTGTCCATATTTGGTGAGTGGTAAAATAAGGCTCTGAACCTGGGTATTATAAGCCTGGAGCCCATGCTGTTAGCCACTGTGCTAAGCTTTCAGGGATGTCAAACTACAGAATTGCCTAGAAGTCACTTTCAAGAACACAGATTTCAGAGTCCAGGGTCCTACCCTCTTGCTGCTGTGATTCTCTGAATCCGGTGCAACCAGGAGGCTGTGGGTGGCCTGACGGACTCCCGTGGTGCATCTGTTGCAAGTGTTCCACCTCCTCATATGAATCATCTTCATCCCTAGCATCGCCCTACCACCTGATCATAAGAACCAGCTGAGGGTCTTGTCAGAAAGTTGGGTTCCAGGCCCTTCCCCTAGAAAGCCTGATTCTAAAGTTTAAGCAAGTTTGGGAAATAGTAGGCATCTTTTTCTGTGGTAGGTGCTGTTCCAGGGTGTGATCAGACTCCTCGAGGCTTGTTTCCTTAGCAACCATGTCTTCTGTCTGCAGTGAGGTGATCACTCCCTTGAGAACACCCCAAGTCACAGCGCTGGTCAAGGGCTGGCACTTCTCAGTTTATCTGTGAAAGGTTGACTTAGGGAATAGTCTGATCACCCCTCAGCCTAGGCAGAGTTACAAAACTGTAAAATTTCCTTCTCTTCTTCCCATGCAGCTCCATTTCCTCTGCCCTGGTATTTCTCCCCTATGTCCTGGACATGTTTCCTGCCTTTCTGTTTGCATATTCTTTATCTCATATTTGTGTTTTGATTGGTGTCAACAAATGGCTGTCTGTGTAAACTGATAAGATGTGAGGAGAAGAGAACCAACATTTTGATACCCTGTTAGGTGCCAAGGACTTTTAGCTGATAAGGATTCTGCTAGAGTCCTGATAGAGACAAGTGTATTTTCAAAGGCTCGTTGTCCAAAGAAGGTGCTGGAAAGACATTCCTATTTTCTGTACTCTCTTCTGCTCAACACTGGGGGGAGGGGGTGCACTCCCACACTCATTCACTGCTTGAACTTTTTGGGCTCATCCCCCAAATCCTAAGAACTGATGGTATGCATGAGCAGAACCCAGAACTTTTGGACAGGCAGCATCCCAGCATACCTCCCATCTATCCTCTCCCATCTTAGATGAAAGACTCCCCATTCTGATAGAAATTCCAAGATAGCTAATGTCTTTTTTGGACAGGAGTCAGCCTTTTACCTTAGAAAACCAGGCATGAAGCAAATGCAGCTCATGACAACTGCAACAAACCCTTGGCTAGTGAGCTGGTGAACAGTGCCCAGGGCAGGTTTTGGAAAGAGAGGAGAGGAATGAAGATTTACAGAGCATTGGTATATTATCTAATTTAATTTCCACACAGACTCAGCAGGAGAGGAAGTGGGTTCTCCAGGGAACTTTTTGATTGTTGGCTTCCTTTTTTTTCCTCAATTTTTATTATGGGAAATTTCAAACTCATGAAGGAAGAAGAATGCTAGTGATCCCAGGTACCCACCACCTGCTTTACTGATTCCCACAGTGCCCTTCCTATTTCAGCTGCCCCTTCCCACTTTTATTTTTTGGCTGATGTGTTTTGTTTTGGTTTTTTTGTTGTTGTTGGTTGGTTGATTGGTTGGTTTGGCTTTTTTGTTTATGTGTTTTAAAAAATTTCCATGTATGATATCATTTCACCTGCAAATACTTCAGAATACACTTCTAATAGATAAAGACCTATTTTTAACATAACCACAAAATCATTTTAAACCCAACCACAGTAAGAGTGTCTTAAAATTGAATCCAGTTGTGTTCACTTTCCCAAATTACTTCAGAAATGTCTTTTAGTTGTTTGACTGCAGCAGGATCCAAACAAGATGCACACATCACACGTGACTGACTTAAAGCTCCTGCAGCCTCCCAGTCACACACAGCTATTCACATTCTCCCTCTCCTATTGGACAAGCTGGGCCACATGTCCCCAGTATAATAATTTGGCTTGATGAGGTGTGTGTGGGTTCGTCCTCCTCCCACCAATGGAGCCCAGGGCCTCACATGCCCCTAAGCTTTTGAAACTTGTGCCTAGTCGCCACAGTTCTTGAATACTGGCAATCAGATCTACAGGTGTGACTAGATTCAGGTTCACCTTTCGGCAGGAATCTTTCCTCAGTGGTTCTGGTGCTCCCATTTACCATCTTGGGAAGCACATTTGATGCACACACACACACACACACACACACACACACACACACACACTGTCTGACTTTTAATAATGTTTTAAGGGCAAATAGTTTCTGGTTGTGTCAGGCTGACCCTGCTATTATGTAATTCACCTGACCCTGCTATGATATAATGGAGCAAGAAGAAGAAAGAGGAAGAGGAAGTGAGGAGAAAGAGTTGTCTGTAGTCTACATCCTGGCCCAAACCTCCCAAATCAGAGTCCTCCCTGCTTGGAGGTTTAAAAGTCTTCCTGGAGGACCACTGGGTGTAAGGTGGGTCTTATTCCCCACCTCACTAGAGCCTGTGGCGTGGCAGGCTAGTTCACTGCGCCTTTGAGTTGGTTTCTGGGGGGCTACTTCCAGAATCTTCCTCTGCCCTCATTTCTTCAAAATGAGTCAACCAATGAAGTCAGCAGATAACACTAGGCTATGCTGGTGAGGAAGCTCAGCCCTTCACTGCGCCCTCATAGGGAAAGGTAACAAGACAGGAAGAGCTGTCCTGGCCATCCTCTGCTTCACAGGATAGAACCCTTTCACACTTATGTCACTAACTCTGCTTCCAGCCAGGGAGGCAGGGATTATCATCTCCATTTTATAGATAAAGAAAGTGAAGTTCTACCAAGAGTTTAAGAAACTCACATAGTTGGTAAACCTGGGTCTTTCCATCTCTAGGAGCAGCACCCCACACTGGGGGGAGGGGGTCTGCTGCAGGTGGGCCAAGAACCATACTTGGAAAAGTACTGAGTTTTTGGCACTGTTCCATCCTGGGAGTGGTCAAGCTAAGAGTTTACCCCCAGGATGTTCACAATCCTAAGTGTTCACTAACAACTGTAATTAATGCAGGCTGGAAAGTGGCCAGTGCCTAAAGATGCTCCAGAGAAAATGCTGGCAGAGTGCAGGCCAAACAGGAGCTCCAGGCAGGCTTCCCAGGAGGCAGGTGTTGAACTCGACTCTGAAGGAGGCAGGGTGTTCCATGGGAAGGCAGCACTGGCAGAGAACAGAGGGAAGAGGAAATGCCTTTTGGGAACTAGGGGAGTCAAGGAGACAGGACTCACCAAATAAAGAGGTCCTAAGAATGGAATGAAGCTGTGACAAGGTACACGGGTGTGGCCAAGCAGACTGTGCTAGGATGCCCTGGGACTTCCAGGAACACTCGCTCCTGGGGATGCTGGTCCTTACGCAGCTCACTGTGACCCTGAAGCTCACTGTGACCCTGCTAATTAATCATGATACTTTATACCAGACACTTTACATACCTTGTGTCATAGACTCACCACCATCCTTATGAAGGAGGTTCTATCACTCCTTCACTTTACAGAGGACAAGACTTAAAATATCATTCTGCTAGGACATAACAGAGCTGGGATTTGAAACCAGGCTGTCTGGCTGCCAGAGAACAACTCCTGAGCCCTCTGCTTCCTGCCTCCTGCCTTCCTGGGAAGTGAGACAGAAGAATCTCCTACCCATGAGGCCCTGGGGTCTTCACAGCAGGGCTCCTGCTTGTACCTCGGCTTTCCTCTCACAAGCTCAAGGAATTTTCTGCCCCTTGCTTTCCCGCTCTTGGATTTCTATGCAGTAGGCTGTCAGCTCCTCAGCTCTTCTCTTCCTTTTATCCCTAGACCCAACTTGTAGCTCCCTTCCTTCAGAGGCTTCTGCTGTTCTTTGCAGACTCGGGTACAGGCTGAGTAAAGGTTGAGTGTCTACCCAGCACTCCAGAGGCCTGCTCCCTGGGTCCCTAAGATCCCTGTGATGGCCTTCAGGGAGGAGCCTGGCCAGGAGAAAGAGGCCCTGAACAGCTTGTCCCAGGTCGAGGCACAGGCCAGGAACAGAGCCAGGCAGACCCCAGGAAACAGAGCTGCCTTCCGCTGCCTCTAGCAGCCACCTTTGTTTGGGATGGAGCTCAGAGATGAGCTCACTCCTCCCTGCTGCCAGATGGATGAGGCCCTGAGGAAGGAGCTGGGGGCGGCCGGCCTTCTCCTGCCAGCCTGCCTTCCCTAGCAGAAGGCCAGCCCCAGGCTTTTGGCCAACCTTGCACTGATCTTGTCCATTCTTCCTCCTTTCTGGTGCTGAAGATACTGGTGATGTCATTGGAGTGGCAGGCTCGAACTTCCTGAGGTCTGGGTCTGCCCCCTGAGCCTCTTCTTTTCCCAAGACCTTGGCAGAAAGGTCAAACAACTCCCACCCATCTGACCTTCATGGACACTGGCTGGGCTAGAGGAGGAGCAACTTTTCCAGGGATGCTGGGGCCAGGATACATCTGGCAAACCTCCCTGGAGTTACAAGTGGCAGAAGTGGCTGAGATGTACATAGGGCTGGGAGATCAGAGGCCAAGTTCAAGGGGCATGCGGGAGTCTGTAAGTGGGCAAGCAGGGCCCAGAACTATCTATGCAGTGACCTGCCTCTGGGATTTCTTTACCAAAACTGAGATTACTTAATCCCTCAAACTTTAGGCCTTGCTCTGTCCCTACCTAAGACAGAAGCTCACGGGAGCTGGCTTTAGGAGGATCTGATTGCTGGAATCACTGGCCTTCTGCTTCCCTTTAGTTAATGTGTTTGTTCCACAAACCAACCCTCTATGGACAGTAACAGCAGGAGCAGCCACTTGAGCCACAGTACTTTATCATTGCTGTCTTAGAGGCAGGCATGAGTCCCCTGATTTACAAATGAGGACCTTGAAGCTCAGGGAGTAGATATACTGACCATGCTCACAAAGCTGGTAATTGTAGAGCTGCAAAGGAAGGTACCCTTGCCCACCCCAGAGATGCTATAACCACCATGTCATGCCATCACCTGTTTCACAGTCGGGACCCTTTGTCCCATTATCAGCACCTGGATTGTGTCTCCACCCACATCCTAGCCTTGATCTTGACCTGTGGTTCAGTTTTTCCCAGACTGTAATCCTAGTAAGTGAGAGCTGCCTTGCGCCCAGGGCCCTGCCTGCCCTGGGTCTCCTGAAGCTAAATGCCAGTCAGCCACCCTCAGGACTTGCTGTAGTTGTCCTCCCATGACTACCTTGGCTCTGGCCCTTTGCTTCTTCCACCTGGCCCCTGGTACTGGCTTCAGACTTGATCCCACCGGCGCCCCTGCCTCAGGTCTCCTTCCCTCTAGTCCATTGTCCGAGTGCAGCCAGGACGATTTCATCCCCACTCCACCTCCACTCCTGCTCACACCCCCAGCTGGCCAAGGAGCCAGTCCAAATTCCTTTGTAGGGCATCACAGAGCCCTGTTTGCCAGCCTGGCTGACCTCATCTCCCTCAGTCCCTCCCCTCCTGCTTTGTTCCAGAGCCAAGTGGAATGAAACTGCTTGTCCCTGGACCTGGTTTATAGCATTCTCTCTGCCAGGAATACTACCCCCACCTCTCTCATGCCTCTGAATTCATTCTTCTGATCAACTTCTTACCTTTCAAGTCTTAACTTCAGTCTTACCTTATGAAGTTTTCACTAAGCATTCTCCTCCAAGTTTAAATGATCTTTTTCTCCTTAGAATCCCCTTTGACCCTCACAGACATCTGATAAAGCACCTGGAATGCTGTGTTGCTTATGCCGTTTCTCTCTCTACTCTATTGAGGGGTCTGAAAGGCAAGAACTATGTCTTATTTCTTTATTTTTATTTTATTTTATTTTATTTTATTTTATTTTATTTTATTTTATTTTATTGGTACCAGGGATTGAACTCAGGACCTTGTACTTGCCAGGCAGGTGCTTAAGCTGCTGAGTTATCTCTCTAGCCCCTGATTTCTTTATATGTCCCTTTGTTCTGCACAGAAGGCATATGCTCAGTAATTTCCCAAGTAGTAGAATGTTCCAGTAGAATGACTGATACTTTCCTCTGTCCTCTCCACAGGGAACGACCTCTTCCTGGTGGCTGTGCATGAGCTGGGCCATGCGCTGGGACTGGAGCATTCCAATGACCCCAGTGCCATCATGGCACCCTTCTACCAGTACATGGAGACGCACAACTTCAAGCTGCCCCAGGATGATCTCCAGGGCATCCAGAAGATCTATGGTGTGTGACAGGGCAGCAGGGCACTGCTGCTTCCTCAGGGCTGGGTTGTAGCTGCCTTCCTGTCAGGGGTAGGTGTGGGGTGGGAAGCTTCACCATCTGCCAGCATTGCCGTTGTGCTGCGACTGGGTGCCAGCCTTCACTAGGCTTCCCCCGGCATACTTGAGAAACTTACAGGAGGGGCTGGGAGGGGCGAAGGTGAGAAGAGGACACCCATTCCCTCTCCTCTACCCTCTCCTCTTTCACAGACTTTGCTCCCACCTCCCATGTGACATCCCCTCCTCTCCCAGGTGGTGCCTGAGCCTGTTCTGGGTACCCCCACTTGCCAAGGACAGCTACACATGTACCTGAGTAATAGTGACACATGGATAGGTATCATAGCCAGAGCATTGATCCAATAATAATAATAATAATAATAATAATAATAATGATAATAATAATAATAATGAGAAGCTAGGCTGCTATGTTGGTAAGATATGAAAGGCCTTCCAGCACACCCATCTCCCAGCTCAGGCCATACCAGCCTGTGAAGCTCTTATCCTGGTCAGTCAGGACAAACGGGAAGACCCAACTATTTGAATAAATGCTTGTCAGCCTAGCATAGGCCTAGGCTGTAGAGTGCAGAAGCAGGACTCGGCCAGGGAGATAGCCCAGCAGTCTAAGCATCTGCCTGGCTAGCGCATGGACCAGGTTTGATCCCTGGTATTGTATGCGATGTGTGTGGTGGGCACGCCTGTAATCTCAGCCCTGGGGAGGCTAACAACACAGGGGGATCACTAGGAGTCTGAGTCTGTGTAGTCAAAACCTATACCAAACACATGAATAAATAATAAAAAATTAAAAAAAAAAAAAAAAAAAAAACAGAAGCAGGGCTCCCTCTGGAGGAGGTAGTGCCCCAGCTGGAACCCTGGACTTCAAGAGGTGAAGAGGGGGAGAGGAGTTGGTGGAGGTAGCAAGTACCAGACAGTATTTCAGAGGTAGGATGATGGACACTCTCTGCTGACATGTCAAATGTGGGGTGAGGGGAGAAGAGAGGGGCCAAGGATACTATCAATCATTCTCCCTTTTGTAATCAAGGGCCAGTGGAATTTACCTATGTGACTCTGATCTTTCGTTTTCAATATAATAGCCACTAGCCACAAATGACTATTGAAATTGAAGTACACTTTTTTAATCTTTTGTTACTTTATTTATTTGGTACAGGGCCTCACTATGCAGCTCAGACTCATAATAAGCCTCCTATCTCAGCCTCCTCAGCCACCACGCCTGGCTGCAGGGCCAGCATGGCATGCGGTACTAGGGATTGAATCCAGATCCTTGTGCTTGCCAAATAGGTGCTTAGACCACTGCGCTATCTCCCCAGCTCTTGAAATTGAAATGCATATCACTGAAACTAAAGTTTCAGTTCCTCAGTTCATTGAGGTCGAGTCATTTGCCTCATCAGCTCAATGGCCACACATGCATGTGGTAGAGGCTACTGTATCAGACATTGCAAACACAGGACATTTTCATCATTGTGGATTGGCCTGTGGACAGTTCTCATTCCAGGTTCTGTAAAGCCATGAACAGAAGTGAGCCTTCAGAATAGTGATTTTCAACTTGACCCATTGGCATCACCTTGGGATTCAAACACAAAACACTGACGCTTAGCTCTCATCTCAGAGATTTGGGTTGGTTGGTCTGGAATGATTCCTGAGTCCCTGGAGTTTTAAAAAGCTCCCCAAGTGACCCTAATATGCAGTCCAACTAGAGAGACACCAATTTAACAATGAAAGTGTTAAGATTGAAGAGGGGAGGCCCTGAGGTACTGCAGCCTTCAGGGTAGGGTGAGACAGCCCCCTCAGACACACATAGCCGCCCTCCCACACACACGAGGCTGAGAGGGAGCAGCTCTGGAGGAGGTAGGGAAACCAAGAGAGTGTTGATCTCTGGAAAAGAGAAACATGTCTCAGGAGAAGGTTCTGGGATCTTGCTACTCAACACGGGGCCTCAGATTACTAACATCAGCATCACCTGAGACCTCAAAGACATTCAGGATGTCTGGCTCCATCCCAGGCCCTCTGAGTCTTAATTTGCATTTTTGTCAAGATCCCTGGCCAGGTGGGAGGCTAAGGCAGGAAGATCACTAGGAGTTTGAGGCTAGCCTGGGCTGCATAGTGAGTTCAAGGCCAGCCTGAATTGCATAGCAAATCCTGTCTCAAAAATAAAAAATATCACTGTTCATATCCTCAAAGAAAGTTTGAGTCACTAACTGTTGGACTCTACACCATAGTGGTCATTGGTGATCTTGGCAAGAGGCTGGGTGGGAAGCAGGACAGAGAATGTATGGGAGTGCATTCACACAGGAAGGGAGGTGCAAAGGGGGACTGCATATATGAAGGGGAACAGAGAAAGGATGTGGGATGCCGAGGATAAGGAAGGACGGTGCATTCCTGCAATGGAAGAAAAAGTACTAGTTTTTTTTTGGGGGGGGTGGAAAGATGAGTGTACTCATTTAGTGGCTGTCATTTATTTTCTCAAAAACTGGGTAACAAGTCAGGGAGAGGGGATAGGAGGTTGGAAGGTGGTAGACTTGACCAGGAGCTGCCTGGGTGATAACAAGGCAATGGCAAAAGATGGTAGCCCCCTCTCTGAGATGTAGCCCCTCTCTCCAGGACCCCCAGCCGAGCCTCTGGAGCCCACGAGACCCCTCCCCACGCTCCCAGTCCGCAGAATCCACTCACCATCTGAGAGGAAGCATGAACGCCAACCCAGGCCCCCCCGGCCCCCCCTGGGGGACCGGCCATCCACACCAGGAGCCAAACCCAACATCTGTGATGGCAACTTCAACACGGTGGCCCTCTTCCGAGGAGAAATGTTTGTGTTCAAGGTAGGGCTGGTTGACTGGTGCCACCCAAGTGGTTCCCCATCTACTCCTTCTGCAACAGGGAGCCAGGGAGGTACCCAGACAAAAGCTGGCCTAGTGGTCAGGCCCCAGGGTCTCTTTCTGGTGCTGCTGGGTAAATTGTTTCCAAGAGGCAGAGGGGGGAAGACTGGTGATGCCACACCTACACAGGGCTTAATGCTGGGGAGAGTGCCAGAAATGGCTTCTGGCCTGTGACCTCCTGTAGTCACACTGCCTTTCTCTGGATTTCAGTTGTCCATCTAAAACATGGAGGGGGACTGGGGAGATAGCTCAGAGAATAAGCACTTGCCTGGCAAGCACAGGGTCCTGAGTTCAAACCCCAGTACCGCAGACTTGGCCACCCAGAGGGACACTCTGGGGCTAGAATAGCCCAATGGTGATCCTACATGAGACACCAAATGGCAGGAGATTTATACCGCTTGTTTTATCCTTTGAGCGAAGCTCTTTCAAACTGAGGCTGTTCCCAGAGGGGCCGAAGACTGAAAACTTCTTGCTGGTACATGCACAGCCACTGGAGCAACAGCCTCACAAAAAGGGACCTGGGAAGAGTGTCTCCATCACATTGGGTGGCCAAGACGAGCTGCCCCATTCCCCTGCAGTGGTCTCCCCAGAAAGCTTCAAGTGCTAACCCTCAGGTTATGTGGATCAGCCTCAGCCCTGCCACTCACTGAGTGACTCTAGACATATTTGGCCTTTTTTTTTTTTTCTTTCCTCAGAACTGGGGATTGAACTCAGATCCTTGTGCTTGCCAGGGAAGTGCTTATTCTACTGAGCCATCTCCCTGGCCCCTTAGCCCTTTTTTAGACTCTGGATATCTCATATTGATTTAACCAAGTTGTGAAAGTCAAAACAAGGTCACAAAACTGGGTAAAACATTTTAAAGTGTTAGCTTTTGTATTATCTTGCATAAATCATGCTCCTCCTTCTGCATTTTTGTTGCTTATTGTTTTTGTTTTTGAATCCTCCCAAATGAACTGTTCATGAATGAATCTAGACTTTCTCATTCCAATTTATCACACTGGTCTTCCCCCAGACCTGAGGTCTGGCTCTCGGCTCTCTGATGCCCTCCTCTGGCAACTCAGGGGCCTGGCCTCTTCCTCTCCAGCTTTTCCACACCTCTCCCACGCCAGGACTATCTGCTGTCTGTCTTACGGTCCCTGAGACAGCAAGAGACTTCAGGACACTTAAATGAAGACTCACACAAACATTCTGTCCTCCTCTGAGAGTTGGAAGCAGCAGATGGACAGACTCCAGGAAGGACTAGAAGTCTGGCCCCAGGTGATGGTGTTGACTTGTTGGGCCTGAGCCCAGGGCTGAGATCACCAGGTTCAGAGGCACTGCCTGCCATGTCTTTCTCTGCTTTCCCCCAGGATCGCTGGTTCTGGCGCCTACGCAATAACCGGGTGCAGGAGGGCTACCCCATGCAGATTGAGCAGTTCTGGAAGGGCCTGCCTGCTCGCATAGATGCAGCCTACGAAAGAGCTGATGGAAGATTTGTCTTCTTCAAAGGTAACATAGCTTATGCTCTAGGGACATTTCCTTGCCCTTGGGGGATCCTGTTTTTCCTATCCTGGTAGAGGCAGTGTGGGAGGCAGAAGCCCTCCAAGGGCTTTTCTAGGCCTAACAGAGACCCTGACCTCTGACAGGGCAGTGCAGCAATTGCGGGCATCAAGTCAGGAAATATGAACATTACAGGGTAATAAACTCCATTCACAGGAAGTAAAGGGTGGGACAGACAACTGAAGGCTACTTAACACCAAGGAAAGGCTTCTTTCTAAGTTCTGGAAGAACCCAGAGACAGGAGGTCACACAAGGGGGTCAAGGAGGGGAGAGGAAGCTAACATGCCCACCACGGGTCCAGCACTGTGCCAGCTTGTTTCATATTGGTTATCCTGATTTAGCTAGGCCCAAGAAGAGTAAGATGCAGACAGTTAGAAGTGAGGAAAGCACTCAGGGTGAGGGAAAAACATGGGTAAGGCAGTGGTGGGGTGTACAGTTTACAAGTCCCAACTAACAGCTACTGAGCCCCACCTTCAAGAGCTAGGAGGTGGGGCCTGGGAAGGTCATATGGAGGCAAATTCGGAGGGGCCTTGAGTGCCAGGTGGAATATGGTCTGGACCCATTAGGCGGACATGGGAAATCCACTACATATTTCTGAACAGCACAGAGTCATAGAGCAAGGAGGTTGTTTTGGAGGTACTTGCTGGACTCAAGGACAGTGCTGTCCATGAGCCCCAAACCAGGGAGGGTTGTGGGGCCAAAGGACAGGGACAGGTATGAGGAGACTTAAAAGGACTCACAGGGCCAGAGGTATAGCTCAGTGGCACAGTGCCTGCCTGGCAAGCATAAGGTCCTGAGTTCAATTCCCAGTACCAAAAAAAAAAAAAAAAAAAAAAGGACTTATAAGTAGCTGAATGCTGAGATGAAAGACAGGGTCAAATCTGTTGCCAGGCTAGTCATAGTGGCACTTGTGTATAATCCCAGCTACTCAAGAGGCTGAGAGAGGAGGATCACCAAATTTTAACCCAGTTGAAACAATTTAGCAAGATAAAATAAAATAATAAAAAGGGGGTAGGGAAGTGACTCAGTGGTAGAACTGCCTCGTATGCAGGAGATTTAAGATCCAGCACCACAGAAAATAAAACGACTGGAGATGCAGCTCAGTGGTAGAGTGCTTGCCTAGCATGTGTGTGGCAGAGGTGGGGGGGTGCCAGATCTTTTTTTGGGGGGCCCCAAGGTGCAGAAGGGTGATGAGAAGGAAGTTCCTCTGTGGTCCAGTTGAAGAGTTCTGGGAAGCCTGCTTGGAGCTGTCAGGGCCACTGGAGATCAGAGTATCTGGGGCAGTGCCCAGGTCCAGCATGACAGTAGCTATGAGCTGTAGCTTCAGAGTTAGGTGATACCAGTACTGGGGCGGGGGGAGTGTGTGACATCACAGGAATGGCTAAGATCATTAGAGAGGAAAGAATAGCAAGCCAAGAGGTGGCTTACTGGTAGGATCTGTGACTTGCTCTGGCTTCTGGTTTCTTGCCTCCAAGCTTTGCCAGAGTCAAGGGACTAAGGAGGCTGACACTGGCTCTGTGAATGAAGATGGGCAAGTGACTCTAGCTACAACCTCTGGCACTGAGTGGCAAGGGAATACTGACTCTGGGCTCCTCTTGCCCACAGGTGACAAGTACTGGGTGTTTAAGGAGGTGACGGTTGAACCTGGGTACCCCCACAGCCTGGGGGAGCTGGGGAGCTGCCTGCCCCGTGAAGGCATCGACACGGCTCTGCGCTGGGAGCCTGTGGGCAAGACCTATTTTTTCAAAGGCGAGCGGTACTGGCGCTACAGCGAGGAGCGACGGGCCACAGATCCTGGGTATCCCAAGCCCATCACCGTGTGGAAGGGCATCCCACAGGCTCCCCAAGGGGCCTTCATCAGCAAGGAAGGGTGTACGTAAGGGCTGAGCCCCGGTGGGGGTGGGGGCTGATTTTATGTGGTTCTCCTTAGGGCCCTGAACATATTCTCAGATCTCTAAGTTTGAGAAACACCAGCTGGAAGCAGGAAACTGCCCCCTGTGACCACGTTGACACAGTATATCACCTTGCTTACCACCTACCAAGTCCCAAGTTTCATCTATAGAAATGAGTCACAGCTGAGAGGTTTTCCAGGCCTGACTTCATTCCTTCAGATAGCATTTCTCACTGGTCTGTAGATGTCACTTAGGAGTTTCCTTGGGTGTCAAGTCTGAACAACAATGGATAAGGTTGGTCCAGAGATATTTTTTACACAGGGTTTGATGGCAGGGAACTGGACAGAGAAGCTTTTAATTTGTAAGATATTTCCTAAGATTTTCCTGAAGACCAGGCTGGTAATGAATCACTGTGGCTGCCAGCAGGCACTTAGCTTGTGTGCCCACTAGACCAGGAGATTCTCAAGAGGAGGGGTTCATCCTGCCAGGCACAGAGCAGGCACCCATGATCATGGTTGATCTAGTCAAAAGCACACTCGGGGCCAGGGAGATGGCTCAGTAGAATAAGTGCTTCCCTGGCAAGCACAGGGGCCTGAATTCAATCTCGGGTTCCACCAAGGGGAAAAAAAAAAAAAAAAAAAAAAAGCACAGACTCTTGAGTCAGGCTGGCTGGATTCACATACTACCTACTTGTTTCTATGAATTCGAACAAATCATTTTAGATTTCTCAGTCTCTTCATCTACAAAATGGGGAGAATAATGACATTTAAAAATAATGGCTTTGTGAGGATTAAATAAATTACACAGAGCAATTAGCATAATGCCTTCCACATGGTCTACAGTGTATAAGTTTTAGCTTACTGGTATGTTTCAGTAGAAGGATAGAATGTATTTCACTCCATAAAATTCTGAAACAAGTTTGTGTGGGAGAGGCTGAGAATATAGCAGTGAACAGGACTTGCATAGCTGTGGATCTAGTGGCAGAAAATAAATGAGGTGGTAACAAAAGTTAGCAGGGAAATGAATGCTGTGATACAACAACTAGGCAGAAGGCATTGTATTAGAGACCTTGGTGAGAAAGGGCTCTCTAAGGAGGCATCACTGTTTCAAAGGCCAGTGAACAGAGGCAGAGCTGCTTGCTATTTGTTGGCTGTCTTGGGCACCAGATGCTCTACACACATGGTCCTCCTTTCTGGAGAGCCTCAGAGACAGGTGACATCAAGGATCTTGACCAATGAACGTCCTAGCCAGGGCGGGGAGCTAGCCAATGATGAGAGTCTGAGTGAGTTGCTTTGCTGTCTGTGGACTGGCTGGGCCCCCAGAGCTGTTGCTGGGAGCCCAGGGAGTGACTAGCAGAGCTTTCCAACCCACTCGCCTACTTCTCCTTCCAGCCTTCCCTGAGAAGCGTCCCAAAAACCCTCTGTTGTGAAGTGATGTGTGCAAAGCTAAAAAAAAAAAAAAAAAAAAAAAAAAATCCATAATTTGGAGATAGAATCTACTATCAACAGAAGGAGAAATCTTGTTTTCTGCCTTTGTAGGCAGAGGCCCTAGAATCATGGAAAGTGGTGTCTGAGCCTTAAAATAGGGGCATGATCTGACATGGGGAGCATGTGGGCACAATGCGAGAGCTGCGCCTACACTGAGAATGGTCCTTTCTGGGCTATGAACCATGTCTCAGTTCTTAAAGCTCTCAGTTTCACAGTACTCTTGAGCTGATGGATGGATGGCTCCAAGACCTCAGTGTCCCTTTCTGCAATGGTGTTTGTTCTGCACTCCAGCCAAGCACTGCATTCACCCCACCTCCAAGTTCCAACAGGCTGCTCCCTCCACTACACCACCCCTTCCTTTCCTCCTGCACATTGCCACAGCACCTGGGCCTTATACTGGCCCAGAGCAGACGCCAGGAAATGTCTGAGAGTGGTGATGCCAGGCCTTATTTCTGCAGATTACACCTACTTCTACAAGGGCCGGGACTACTGGAAGTTTGACAACCAGAAACTGAGTGTGGAGCCAGGGTATCCACGCAACATTCTGCGAGACTGGATGGGCTGCAACCAGAAGGAGGTGGAAAGGCGGAAGGAGCGGCGGCTGCCCCAGGATGATGTGGACATCATGGTGACCATCAATGACATGCCAGGCTCTGTAAATGCTGTGGCCGTGGTCATCCCCTGCATCCTGTCCCTCTGCATCCTGGTGCTGGTCTATACCATCTTCCAGTTCAAGAACAAAACAGGCCCTCAGCCTGTTACCTACTATAAGCGGCCAGTCCAAGAGTGGGTATGAGCAGTCCAGAGCCCTCTCTGTCCACTTGGTCTGGCCATCTAGGCCCTCCCTCACCAGGGTCTGAGGGGCAGCTCTGGCCATTGCCCACTGGGGCCAGCAAGGCCCTAGGCCAGGATCATACAGCTGAAGTGGTGGGTGTGTTGGCCTAGGCTGAGGGCAGGGAGTAAAGGGGGCTGGGCCCTGGGAGGGTATCTAGCACCCAGGTGCCAGCCTTCTATCCTGGGTGAAATACTCTTACACAAGAGAACAGACTAGGCCACATCAGGAGGCAGGGGCTGTGCCAGGAGTCCCTGTGGTCACTGAATCCTGTGGTGTCTATGAGGCACCATAGCTCAAGTCCTGGCTGGGACCCAGCACTCCCCATGGGAAGCCAGCACTAGCTCTCATCCCCCATCCGGGAGATACGCCCAGTCCTAGTCCCCTTCTGCCAACACCTGCTGGTCAGATGTTCCCCTACCCATCCCACCCTTCCTGTCCTCCAAGGTTACAGGACCCCTGCTGCCAACAGTGGACGACAAGCCTGGGATCTCCCCACTGGCAAACAGCAGATCCCTCAGGAAACCTGCTGTACTCATCAGGTCTCCTCTGAGACCCAGAATTTAGGGTCACATGCTGCAGGCAGGGCTGTGGCCCAGCTGGATCTGACAAGGACCCAGATGTCATGTCGTGAATATTTAATGTCCTGTCACTACTGTTTAAAGTCCCATTTTGCAAAGGCTGCTTGAGGCACTAAGGTGAATTAGCGGTGACTGTCTCGGTGATGAGGCCACGGTGGTGGCCCTCCCCCAGGTGATAAGGACCAAGGTGCTCCTAAGGCCACACTAGCCATCTAACACTAGCTGAGGCCCTGCTGTGAGGCTCAAGAGCTGGGACAAGACCTGACCCCACTTCTGGAGGCTGATCCAAGTTTGCGACTGTCCTCCAATGCCCTCTCCACTAACCCTATCCCCAGCCCTGCTCTAGCCTGTTACTTGTGGACCAATCAGGTAAAGCAGAATGGCTCCAAGGCCACCAGTCTCAGCCTTGGAGTAAAGGGCCCAGAGCAGCCTTCTTAAATACTCAGCACCCACATCCCCTGCTACCCTGAGGCAGCTCAGTCTCAGCCTGCAGTGTTATGCCATGAGCTTAGCCCTGGCAGCCCAGCTTACTGGGCCCCTTTTCCTGTATTGTTCTTAGGAAAAGGGCACCAACTGGTAGCAGCTCCAAGCCTAGGGGCCTCCCTTTGTGACTTTCTCAGACCCACTGTTCACTTCTGGCAGGAGTTCCTAGGGCTCAGCTTTCATTGCTCCAGCCCAGCAGACAGCACTGCTTGTCACCAAGGAGCCCTAGAGAAATCCAAGGGTGCAGTGACACCCCCAGGCTCTCCACCAAAGCCAAGAAGTGGTGTCAGGCAGTCTTCTGGGTGCTAGCAGGGTCTCATATGCCATTCCTGCCCTCTGAGCCCACATGGGCCTTCCCCCTACCCCGTGGCCTCTGGGCTTTGGGTCGGCCTACCCTGTAGCACAGACAGGGACTCCTGCTACCCTGTGAACTGTCCTGAGTTAAATCTATGGTGCCAGAGGCACCTATGTGGGTCCACTGTGTCCCCTCTCATCATCATCTTGTTTTTTTCTTTTTGGCCAAGGGCAGGCTCCCTGGGGCAGGCAGGGAATAACTGCAGTGATATTAGTGATTCGTAGGTTTGTACAGTGTTTTATACTTTGCAAAGCACTTTATTAGCTCACATCGGTCCAACTCACGTGAAATTCGTGTAGGCCCTGGGAGGCCGAGGGTAACGCTCATGCCCTCAGATGAAGCATGGAGGCCGAGGGTAACTCTCATTATGCCCTCAGATGAAGTTCTGTTATTTGCCAGAGCCATCCAGAGGGCTGGCTGGGTCTTTTGTCTCCATCTGTGGACTCCTCTGAGGTCTGAGATAAGTGTGTCCTCTATCCATCGCTTCCTCATTCCCTCTCCCACTCCCTCCCTGGCCCCTCTCCATTCCTCAGGTTGGTGCTCTCACTTCCTGAAAGCTCTAGGCCCCGCCTCCCAGGCTCCTATTGGCTCCTGGTACTACAAGGGCAGCTGAGAAAAAGCAGGAGATGGAGGCAGGTAGCCCAGACTGCAGATGTGAGGCATATGGGGCCAGGCCCAAAGAGGGCTCCACCTGGAGGCTTCCAATCTTGGGATTCTCCTGCCTCTGGTCACCTGTTTGTTCATCACCCCAGGACAGGGCAGTCAGACTGAGGAGAAAAGCACTAGTGGCCATAGAGCCCAGCTTTCCCTCAGCCTGGGGGACATCACAGCATTTCAGTGTCGGTCACATTTTAAACTGATCAGCCTTTGTATAATGTTTTTTAAATCATTTCTAAATAAAACTGAAAGACAGAGTGTGTCATTTCTCTGAGGTATGGGAATGAAGACACGAGTTTTGTTTTGGTTTTTCTGATCAAGTTCTAAGAAGTGGCCTTACAAAGCTTCAGGGTACTCTCTGGGGTGTTTCAGAGCTGCCCCAAATATCATTTGTTGGATTAGCAATCAGACATCTTCCCTCTCCAAAAAGAGGGGAAGGAACTACCTTATGGGGAGTATGGGTTCTTTTTGTTAGTAAGCAGGTTAGTCTATGGCAGATATCCCTTCTGTATGCACTTTAATGCTGTATTATTGGTTCAATAAAGGCATTGATACTACCAGAAAAAGAAAAAAAGAGAGCGAGCAGTATGGGAAGTCTCACAGGCAAATGCTTTTCTGAGCTCAAGACACACAGTGCCACCACCTGGGACACAGGAAGGGACTCAGTTCAAGCGATTAAGGGTCAGACAGGCCGGGAGGTCAGCAGTCGTAAGGTCTCACCAGAAGGCGTGGCCCAATTCTGGTTCAGGGAAGGATGCCCCCAGACAGCTAGAAGGATGGGGGTGAACATGGTCAGGGCTGGCTTTGGTTACTGGCCGGCTGACAAACAAGTTGAAGGGATGACCAGTGCCCGCAGCCTCTGGCCGACCTCTCCAGGCTCTGTTGATCTGCGGGGATTGGGAAGACATGGGGGTCCCAGGGAGGGAAGAGGCCGGCTAGCCCAAGGCTACATGGTTGGGCCGGCATCTCGGCACCCTCCCAGGCAGCACAGTCAGTCAGTACCAGGAGGTGCAGGCGATGAGGAAGCGCACGTCGTCCAGCGGCCCCCAAGGGCCGGGCTCAGGCTCCGGCCGGGGCTGGGGCTGGGGCTGCTCCGGGGGCGCTGGCGCCAAGGGCTCCGGCTGCGTCGGCTCTGGTGCTCCCGGGTCGCCACTCAACTGAGCGCCCATGGTCTGCGGGATAAGGCCATCAGGGTCGCGCCACCAGTACCATCCCACTCTCTCCCCACACCTAACTGTAACCTCACCTCCAGGAGCCAGGCCAGTCAGCTTAATCGCACCTCAGCTGGGCTCGGCCGTACGTGACGTCATCGCGTACTCGAGCGTCACTGCGTACACCACCCACTTCTTCCAGGGTGGGAACAGGAGCTCTCAGCTAGGGGGCGGGGCCACAAGCACAGCTCCCGAACCCCGCCCTGCACCCTACGCTCCACCGGGTCCAGCCGGGAATGGCCGCACAGTCTGTACCTGCCAGAAGCTTCCCACCCACTCGGCTATTTAGGAAAGGTACTTTTAGTCAAAAAGGACAAGAATGCCGGAGGTGGGAAGTAAAAGATGGGACATTTTTCTTAGGGAAATCAGAGAGGACCAAAAGTTGTGTGGAAAATGTGCGAACAGAGGAGGGTGCTTTCTTCCCTAGCCCTGGGATGAAGCCTCCTGTTGATAATGGCAGAGAAGGCTGTGTGTATGGCTCTTTCAACATTCCTAGAATGCTTAAAACGGGGAGGTGTGGCACAGGCTGACGCCCACAAATAGCACACTCAGAAAGGCCAAGAGGCAGATGCCCTTTAATTGGGGTACCCCAGAACAGCAGCATCCTCATCCATTAGCCAAAGCACTGACAGCCAGAGTGACATGGCGGGCTTTTCCAGGAACAACAGATTCAGAAGATGGCACTGGTGCAGGGCTGGGCCCCTAGCCACTGTTTCACTGATCCCTCTGCCACACCTTCCTGGTAGCAGCAAGTACAGACTAGGTGAGGCAGGGAGGAACGAGCTGGGGCACAGCATGGAAGGTGACTCAGGTGAGGCTGCAAGAGAAGGAGGAGCACTGTCAGGTGTGATTCACCGGGCACACCTCACCCCCAGCCCTAGACCTGTGTTCTAGCTAAGCCCAGAGGAGCCACCCTCAGAGCCTGGCCCCATCTGGATGCTGGTCTGACTGCATCCCATGTTACACAGTAGACTGGAGTTCTCCATGTTTAAAGACTAAGATTCCTTTCCCACTCAGGTTGGACTATTGTGTTTAATTAGTTACTGGTCATAAACTAGAACCTCAGAATATTAGAGAAGGTAGTAAAAGAACTCAATCAAAGGAACTGTTGTACTCAGGCCACAAGTCACCCAGACACAAGGCTGAGCCAGAACTCCTTTTCAGAATTCCCCTTTATGGGTGCTACTAAGCACAAGGACCACAAGCATTAGGCTGAAAAACATATCTGCCCTGTAAGGACTGAAGAACACTCTTACTGGAATTAGCCTGGTTGATGATTGTAAAACTGGAATAGGCACATATTCTAGTCATATACCTGGTATCTTCATTCTGAGATCTCACAGACACCTTGAATGAGTTCACAAACCAAAGATGCTGGTGAGCGTTCTCGCTTTCTTTCAGTAACTATTCCTGCTTATTATCTTACTACACAGGAAAGCAGGACCAGAAAAAGGCTGACCAATGCTGAGGAATGTAGCAATTCTACCTGGTGTTAGTGACAGTCTCTACAGTTTTATCACTAATGCAGTATTTACTGGAGTTTTTTGGTATGTTTCAACTATTATATCACTGACAGTTCTCAGGTTGCTAAGAGATTCACTGTTCTTTACTCAAATAATTAACTGTAAATACCATTTTCCATACAATCTTCCAAAAGGATAAGAAATGTAGTTTACTCATCACCACATCACTATTGCCTGGCATATAAAGTTACTGAACAAGATTTTTCAGGCTAGGGATGTAGCTTAGTGGTATCACATTTGCCTAGCAGGCAGTAGGCCCTGGGTTCCATTTCCAGTTCCACAGGAAAAAAAGAAAACCCAAACTTTCAATTGCTTACCAGTACTGACAGCAGTTACTAAATGTGCTTCCCAAAATGCTCCAATCAGAATCACCCAAGATAGCTTATTAAAAGAAAAAGCACAAGAGATGGGCCCCAGTACAGACCTACAGAATCAGAATCTGTGGGTTGACATCAGAAAGTTCTGTAAATAAGAATCTCAAGACACATGAAACCCCAAACCACAGGATACCTCAATAGGCATTTAGTATTGGGCACTCTAGAAATACTATTCCCCTTCACACAACTCACATTTCCCCATCTCTGTATCTGCCTGTCTCTGTATATTCAAACATACTCATTCCCTGAAGAATTAAATGATCTTCTAGAAAACTTACATTATCCCAGAAAGTTTCCCACCAGGCTTTCCAAGCCATCCATCCCAGGACAGATAAAAGTACAGTAAGTCCCAAACTTATGGACATCCAAGTTGTGAACTTTTAGATACAAATGGACCTCCCATTATGAATATTCACAGATGTAAATAAATTGCAGAAGTAGCTCACCTTAACCTTAACCCTGCACCACCATTTTAAGGTAACTATAAAGTAAAAATAATCCACAGTATTTCTGTATTTGAACTTTTTGTTTTACATTATTTCTGTCAAAGGTGCCTAAGATTCACTTTATCAGATGCACAGTGGAACATGACTTATGAACATTCTTCCAGAACAGAACTCTAAATCAGAGACTTACTGTACTTTCAATTTTCCTTGAAAAAAGCTAAAAGGTATTATTTAATTTTAAGAGAAAGCTAGAAGTTATTATGTAATTACTATACCCTCTTCCCCTGGGCCATGCCCCATGAAGCCTTGCCTATGGGGATGAAACATATCAGGCAAGTGAAAGAAAAGGGAATAGGGTCTCTTATTTGGCACTTGCTCTACCTTGGGGTTTCTAGCCTCTACAGCAGATGTGACAAGCCTACTACACGTGTACCACAGCCAGCTATTTGTTCTAAAACATCTGCAATCATTGTTCTAGAGTCTCTGTTCAGGGCAAGACAGGCATGAGAAAGGTCCTCAGTGAAGTATGAGGGGAGATGGAACTACAAGTACCCTCTGCTCCTGAAAAGAGATTCTAAAGCCTTACACCTTCAGATCTCCTGAGTAAGGGCCCTGTGGTTGTTTTTCTAACACACAAACCACCAGACTTTGATTTTGATGTAATAACCACCCTAACCAGTCTAAGAGCTACTTAGAAATCAGAAGTCTTCAGTATTTTCTCTTTCTTTCTTTCTTTCTTTCTTTCTTTCTTTCTTTCTTTCTTTCTTTCTTCTTTTTTTGGTGGTACCAGGGGTTGAACTCAGGTCCTTGTGCTTGCCAGGGAAGCACTTATTCCACTGAGCCATCTCCCTGGCTTCTTTTGGTTTTTTGATACAGGATCTTGCTATGTGGTTTGGGCTGGCCTTGAACTCACTAAGCAGTTCAGACTGGCCTCCAATTTGCAGTGATCTTCCTGCTTCAGCCTTCCAAGTGCTGGGATTTAAGGTGTACACCACCACACCCAGCTTCCTCAGCATACTGAAGTAGTCTTCCCAACTTCCACAGCCAACATCCTCTCTCTCTGTCTGTCTGTCTCTGTCTTTGCCAGGCACTTATGACACTAAGCAACATTTCCAGCCCAACAGCATC